AATTGGACAGGATTTAGAAAAATGTGACTGAACAGAATAGATCACATGATCAGTTCCTATGCTTAGTCCCATCACATCTGAGTGATTGTGCCACGGGGGGGGATATATTTCAACAAAAACACGTCACTATTTGTCCAAATTGATCAAAAGCAGATGGCTTTTTTTTGTAAAAATCGAATACGAGGCCCTTAAAAAACAAACATGTGGCCTCAGCCCAGGCCTCCGTTCCCTTCTGTTCACCGTTCTCATTTCTGTTCAGACTCCAAAAATGAGAGGTTTGGCTTTTCTTTGTTCGGCTCTGTAAACCCGCTATGAGAGTTAACAACAAACATATTGTGAGTTTTCTTCCTTTTTGAAAAAAATAAGTCTCAAAATTCTTTCCGTCTCTTCTGATTTTGCTCCTCGTCGTTCTCCATTGGACTATCGAATCCGGCCGTTACAAACAAGAACAACACGCGTGAACGCACAAAGTCTGAATGAGTTAAGGAGATTATTTCCATTAGGACCATGTTTTTTTTATTTTTTGTTTTTTTATTCCCGTATTTTCAGCATTATAGCGCACACCGGATTATAAGGCACACCTTCATTTAATGGCCTATTTTAAATTGTTTTCCTTATAAGGCCCATAAAATAGTCAGTCAAACTTTTTTAATAGACTACAAACCAGCATCCTGACGACTGTTCACTCCCAAAATGAATAAACAGCTTTTTAATTATTTTTCCCGAGCTAATGTCAGTGACCTAGTGTTTTCGTGACACAGTTTATCTTTTAACAACAATATATATATCAGGTAGTGCAACAGGTAGTTTCATCGAATCAGTAAAGACGTAAAAAAAAACAGTCTGATTCCGTTAGGGTAAATCAAACGTTAGCGCAATCACAATAAATAGCAGCTAGCATAAAGCTGACAAGCTTTTCTCATAAAAAAAACAAAACTGCCACTATAGAATTATTTAAAGTACCTGTTGTCATAGTTAAGATCAGATTCAACGTTTACCTTAAATGTCCACTTTTTTTTTTAACAGCCACCTTCTCTTACTACGTCGACTTTTAAAATGGGCACTATTATATATGTACATTGTGCAGTACTACTGAATCTCCAGAAGGTGGCGCTTCTTCACACATGCACCGATCGCTGCCTCTTCTACGGGAGAAAATGGAGTCTGGGGCTGCTTCCCGAGACTTGGTGTTACTCAATCCTGATCAGTATGAATGTCGCACCGGATTATAAGGCGTTTTTTGAGAAAATGGAAGGCTTTAAGGTGCCTTATAGTGTGGAAAATATGGTATATGGAATCGCTTTCATACTGTAGAAATCATTCCTCATGTTCTGGCTCACATACACTGACGCCTGTGTGTGTGTGTGTGTGTGTGTGTGTGTGTCACCTGGGTTGGCGGCGGTGCTGATGGGCACCAGATGCGTCCCGTTCTGTGTGATGGCCTTTATCGGGAGCTGGTGCTGGCCCAGCGGCGCCTGTTGGACGATGGTGACGGTTGTCAGGGGCGGAGCCTGAGAGCTCTGGATGAGGCGGCTGACCCCGCCTATGGACGAGGCCGCGATGGATGGGACCGGCTCCACTTTTACTGCGAACGGGCAACAAAAAAAAAGCCGTGAGGCCCGACGAGCTGGACACCCTGCCCCAAACCTTTTCACCTCCGTGTCTGCGGCCCGCCGCTTCACCTTTGACCTCCTTGTGCTCGCCATCTCCGTTCTCCTGAGGTGGCGGGCCGGCCGCCGAAGGGGGCTGGCCGCCGCCCACGGTGGCCACGGTGACGGCCGGGATCTGGCGCACGACGTGCACCGTCTGCATGACGGGCGCCGAGGTGACGGCCGTGGTCACGATGCCCGGCGCCGCCACGGCGTAGGTCACGGGCTTCATGGTGGTCTGGGGCAGCTGGCGCTGCACGGCGATGAGGACGGGCTGGTTGCCGAGGGGGGAGCCTGGCGGCGAGCGGAGGAGAGAAAAAGAGTTTACCGCCAACATCATTTGGTCAGAGAAAAAAAAAAAAAGATTACAATCCCAAAATTGATTTGAAAATTTTAAATTGGGTTAAAGTAAAAAAATTAATTAATTAATTAAAAAGAATTCTGACTAAAATTTCCCAGAATGCATTTCCCAGCAACCGAAAGCTGTAAAGTTGCAAAAATCTGATTTAATTCTTGCTTTAGCGCCATTAATATATAAACTTCGTACGTTTTTAATATTTCTATGTGATAAAGTACTTAATTAGATCCTTAATATGCGATTGGTTTATCGAAACAATGTCTGTTAAATTTGTTCTGACGTTTTCACACATGTGAAGAGCCACCAGTGGGACCAGAGCTCCCCATGCGATGTGCCGGTCAACCTTCTTCGTCATCCGGGGTGTAGCGGCCAGCTGGGGTTGGGCGGTAATACGGTAATAAGCTCTATGGTATAAGTTGCTTTCGGCCGAAGAAGATGCCCACAGCCTGAGCCATGGTTCTGCTCCAGGTTTCTGCCTCTTAAAGGGAAGTTTTTCCTTCACTGTGTCGCCTAGTGCTTGCTCTTGGTGGGAATTGTTGGGCTTCTGTAAATAACTTAAGTGATTTACAGTAAAAACTTCTGTAAATAACTTAACTGTAGTAAAGAAAGATCCGGCCATACATAACCCAACATGCTACCCAGTTTCTTGTGTAGTCTACGGTTATCTCACACCTCGACTATTTTAACGCCCTCCTGACGGGTCTCCCAGCCTGTACGCTAAAACCGTTACAAATGATCAAGAACGCAGCGGCGCGTCTGGTCTTCAATCAGCCCAAAAAGTCTCACGTCACCTCTCTATTCATTGAGCTTTACTGGTTACCCCTGGTTACGCCCTGGTACCCCAGGGTATGGCTCCCGTCTACTTGAACCCTCTTGCAAAGGCTTATGTCATAACTCTGTCTCTCCGGTCATTAACGGATTGTCGTCTAGCAGTGCCCACACCACGCTTAAGACAATCCCGACTGTTTTCATGTGTTGTTCCAAGATGGTGGAATGACCTACCAGGCGCTACAAGAACAGCAGCGTTCCTTTCTATCTTTAGGAAACTCTTAAAGACCAACCTCTTCAAAGAGCATCTCTTATCCTGACTATTACCCATACCTCGGTACCTCCCTACTACTCTTTCTGCACTTCTCTCTCTCTTGCTGCCACCACTGATTCTGACATGGGATTTTCCTCTAGAGGACTTATTGTCATATTGATGATAACTGTAATTTGTGTCTACTTTGTAAGTCGCCTTGGATAAAAGTATCTGCTAAATGCATAAACATAAACTTAAGAGTCCGGTCTGACCTGCCCTGTTTGGAAAGCGTTGTGAGATAACTGTTGTTGGGATTTGGCGCAATAGAAATAAAGTTGAATTGAATTGCATTGAATATAAGTTTCAATACAGTCATTAAAAAAAGCAATGTGGTTGAATCTTGTGAAATTTCTGAACGTGTCGCATCACGTGACAGCGTGAAGGAGAGAGAGAGATAACAATGGCAAGTCGCTCCTCAAGTGGCCTTGTCGCTAAGAAGAACACGACTTCTGCAGTCTGGCAATATTTCAGGTTCAGAGCAAATGGGAAGGAGCCAGTATATACGGATGAGGCAATATGTAAATGATGTAATAAAAAGGCTGCGATGGACTGGCGGACTGTCCAGGGTGTACCCCGCCTCTCGCCCGTTGACCACTGGGATAGGCTCCAGTTCTCCCCGCGACCCCATTAGGCAATAAGGGGTAATGATAACGGATGGATGGATGGATGGATGGATGGATGTAATAAAAAGGTGACTGTGAGAGATGGAAACACGCCAAACGTCCACACTGTCTGAGCCTTAAGTCATCAGTTTGAAAGAATCAGGGTAGTACTGTATACCATAAAATCTGGTATCAGAATGGGTATTCGGCCAGGCCCCGCAGCGAGCACCTACATTCTTCTCTGGGTCACAGCATCATTGGCTCTACAGCCTGACAATCTGCCACTAAAAATGTCAGCGGCGGATCACACAAACAACTTAGAACCAGGTTCATGTGTTTTCTATGAGCGGCGTGCGTTACCTGGGGAGCTCTGTGCAAAGCGGGCCTCTTGAATAACTGCGAGTTTGGGCTGGACTGTGGTGGGTGGTGGAGGTGGTGGGGTAGGCTCGGGCTCCAGGGGCACCGGGGAGCCCTCTCTGGACAGGCTGTCCGGGGTCTGGACCCCGCTGGAGTGGGCAGACAGCGCCCCCGTGTGGTTGGGAGAAGCCGGGGCACTCCTGGGACCAAGAAAGAGGAAACAAGACACAAAAAAAAAGGAAAAAGAGGAACGTTTCACACAGCTGTCCAGGTGGAGTGGGAGTGCTTTTAATGGTAACGTTTTTTACTAAAACAATTTAGCTTTCTAGCCAACGTCACCTGGAAGACAGAGGCCCGACTGGCGTCCGGAAGCAGGGCACCCCCCGGGGCCTGCGTTTCCTGAAGGCTTGTTCGATGAGCTTGCCCTCGGAGGCGGGGTCGATTCTCCAGAAGGAGCCCTTTCCAGGCTCCTCCTGGGAGCGGGCCACTTTGATGAAGTATCGGTTCAATGACAGGTTGTGGCGGATTGAGTTCTAATGGAGAGAGCAGTGTTCAGAAAATGAAAAGCCGAGTTAGATGGAGTCAGAACGTTCCAACGTTACGACCCATTCTAAATAGATATACCGTATTTTCCGGACTATAATTCACCCCAGACTGTAAGTCACACCAGCCACTATCTCCATTATAAAGAAAAAAAAAACATAAATAAGTCGTACTGGGGCCGCAGCGTAGCCTAATGGTTACAGCGGGTGGACCATGTGTGAGGATCTCCTCATGAGCGGGCGGCCTGGGTTCGATTCCGGCCCACGACCCTTTCCCGCAGGTCTCCCCCTCTCTATCTCTGCCCCCTTTTCCTGTCAAAGCTACTGTCATTAAAGGCCACTAGAGCCCAAAAAATCTTTTTAAAAATTTTTTTCCAGTCGTACTGGACTATAGTAGCATGGACGTACAGGTATATTAACTTAACATGAAAAGTTCAGACGATAATATATTTGTCGTAACACAGTTCCCATGATGCATTGCATTTACGTTTCCGGGGGCCAATTTAAAAAACATAGAGCGACTCCGTTACATAAAATTGTTTCATTACGGTAAATGAATTGAGACTACCAGTATATTTTTCAATTATAAGTATAGGTCACAACCCCGGGCCGAAACATGTAAAAAGTGAGACTTATAAACCGAAAAATACGGTATATGTAAAACCATATTAATTCTGTGCTCAGGCAGAAAATCTGGATTTATATTGAATTCGTCTTTACTTTAAAAAAAAAACAACAAATGACAAAAAAGTGTGTTTATCTGGTCTGGAGAAGCTTTGAATGACCCATCCTCTGGTTGACGCTCCCCCCTTAACAACAGCTATTTGTGGAGTGACGGCTTTGTGCCTTTGGCTTCGGTCCAACAGATGTAATCGGGCTGGTATCCTGGAAACCAGGCTGAACGCCTCCGATCCGTCAGGTCTCGTTTGATCAGCCGTTTTAGGGACGAGTGCTTTTGTTTTCTCGCCAATCCGTCCGAACGCATTTTAGTTCTGGCGTTTCGCTGTAACAGATCTGGGGGTTCTGTGCGGATCGGGCAAAATGAGCACGGCTGAACTACAGAGCCACCTTAAGCTGCTTTTCCCTCGAAGTCTGTTGATTTATACGCACTTTCATGGGATGTGGACGTATTTGTGCCTTCTTGTGTAACTTTCTATGAAACAACTGGAGATGATTTCATTTCTCTGTTACCAGGACGGCACCTGCTGTCTCTGTTGTCAGGTGTGGAGGCAGCAACCCCCCCCCCCAATATCACACCAGTCCAACAACCTCCCATGATTTAGGCAGCGTGAAAGCCTCGGTAACACTCGCAAGTATTTCAGTGGTATGACTATTTTGGGGGTATATTACACCTGAGAGAGATAGAAATTGATGCTCAACCCAGTCGAAAGTCTGAAGGAGGATGAAACGGTGGCCTGGGAAAAAAATAAAATAAAAAAAAGACCACTTTCGAAAATGGGCCGAAACCTCTGGTCCTGAAATTTCCCTGGTCCAGTGGGCCTTGGGTTCCTGGGAAGGAAAAAGCCTTTGCTGTGTTCTCTTAGCTGTTCCTGAGGACGTTTCACCGGTTTTTGAGGCTGCTCACAACAGGAAGGTGCTGTCGTGACTCACTGTGTGTTAAACAATCGTCCTGCCGGAAAAATCTCAACGTGGCCGTGACATCGATACCTAGGACGAGTGGATGTACATCGAACCCTCGCTTTAAAGCGGTTCACCTTTCACGGCTTTGCTGCTTAATGGATTTTTTTTTTGTAGTGCAGCTTCATTAAAATCTCTCAAATATAATCTAAGGTGGCATTTCTGTTTATAAGAATCTTCTTGCCCGGAAGAAGAAAGAGCGCCGACGCCTACCCATTACTAGGTTCTTCTTGGAAAAAAAAACGCCTGCCCCACAGCCTTCAGTAGAAACAAACGCTACAGCAAAGCGGAGTCAGGATGAAGAGGCACGATGTGTCCGACCGCGTATTGACCATTCGAATTATTATTTTACAGTATTTCTAAATACTAGCATAGTTATTTGTAAGAAACATTTTATATTTGTATCTATTAAACAAATACTTGGGCCCGAAAACAGGTTTCGATATTTGGTTTCCTTCTAAAGTACAGTATTGTATTGTAGGGATGTCCCGATTGATCCGATATTGTATTTGCACTTCTGATCCGATACCGGCCGATACCGATCCTGGCCTATCAGAGCATGTATTAAAGTTTAAAGTTATTTTGCCGACTTACTTGGTTGTCAGACTCATATTGAACAGGGATTTACTCTTCTAACAACTTAATGGTTAGGACACCAACCTGTGGGTTAGGAGATGCTAATGCTTGTGAGGGATCGGACTTTAAAAGAAAAACTGGATCGGCAGTCTGGATCTGCATTTTCTCCTGCCGCCCGATGCGCAGTTTTTTGCGAATATCGCCGGCCGATCTGATCCAAATATCGTATCGGGACAAGCCTATTGTATTGTATAATGATTGTAAAAAAATAACGCTGACTACTGCCAGTTTCCGTCTTTTTTAAACCTAACCCGAGTCAGTGAGCAGCAGCAGAGGACAAGTGAGGCTGGAAATAGTGAAGTACAGAAATGAAACTTAACAAAGTCACGACGTTAATCTTTTAGGCCATGAAAGATTTATACTGTTTTGATTCGATAGATGTACTAAAAAGGGATCGTCTGCTCGGGATACTGGTCCACGTTCCATTTTTCCATTTCCATTTCAAAAGAACAACGCAAAAAGACTTTGTTTCCCTCACTGCATTTGCGTTATTTTGGAAAATTTCTGGTGCAAACACGTTGGGCTAAACAATGCTAACCCCACTTTGCAGCCGGATTTCGGGCTCTCGTAACAGAGAGGCCCGTTTGCAGTGCTGGCGTGTGTCTTAGGAGGTTCAATTAGGAGAATAAAGTCGTAAATATTCTATCCTGTTTTAGAAGACGAGAGTTGATAAAATGAGGGTCAGGGACCATGGAATTCGTGGAAATGTACTTTAGAATAGGTTTCACAAACAAGGAGATACTTAATCTTTTGGCACATCATAATCAAATAGCCATAAGTATCAGAACCTTAGAAAGAACAGGCAAGAAAATGCATCTTTTCCGCAGAGAGAACCAGGCAGATTTGGAGGGATCGCTGCTTTGATGGAGGGGAAATGGCTGGAAGTGGTCGACCGCGGTTATCGGTGGATGCGGGCCATTCAGAGGGGTTTTATTCTCACCATATTTAATACCAACTTTCAACTCGCAACTAAGTCCCATCATATCTCGCAATTTATTCCGATTTTTTTTTTTATGTGGCCCTCATAATGCTCAAATAAAAAAAAAAGAAAGAAATCATTTGATTTCTAAATAATCTTTCTGTTCTAATCTTTTAATATTGTCAGAGAGCATGTGTATGGACTGAGAGAGTTCACCCAGACAGGAAAGGCACAAGAGAAAAGAAGAACAAAGTGAAGACACTGACCTGCCAGCCTTTATCAGCTGTTCTGTAGTAGGGGTAGTTCTTTGTAATATGGGTGTATATTCCATTCAGTGTTAGCTGCTTATCTGGAGCCATCGTGATAGCTTGGACTATTAGCTGGGCGTACGAGTAGGGGGGTTTGGAGTCATCCTGCAAAAGATGAGACAAAGTTAAATAAATGTGCTTTTTCAGATGGATTTTTGTGTCCTTTTTGTGTAATTTATTCAAACGCGTGGACACACACGTGTACTGCAAAGTTTATCCAATGCCAAAGTCCAGATCTGGTACTGTCAGGAGTATTGGGCAAATAACAGGCTACTGCAGCCGTCATTGTGTGGTTTAAAGCGTCCACGCAGAGCAGCTCTCACCTTTGGGCTGTCTTCGCCTGACGCCTCCTTGTCGTTTTCCGATTGGGAGTTGTCTCCTATGAGGTCCGAGGCGAGGACTCGGCTCGTCCTGTAGCTGGAAAGCCCTGCCCCCCGTGGACTGGATGGACAAGAGTTTGCGGCACTAAAAAGGATAAAAAGGTGGATTTAATAAATGATAGTAGACTGGAATATCAAAGGAGACTTATTGGTCGATACGTTCTGGGTTGATCAAAATTCAGATTTTGCCTGTAATTTCATCCAGTCTATGGTTAATTTCCTCAGGAGGAAAGTAACAAGTACTAACGGGGGAGTTCAGAGCACCCTTGTTTCACAGGTAACAGCCTGTCTTCAGAGAACACCCCCCTTCTTTGCACTATTTTGGATCAGCCCAACACGCTAGAGAAGGGTAGATTAAAGCACGCTCTCCTTATTTTACATTTTAAAGTTTGATTTACAGGTGGCACGATAATGTGGTGGTTAACAACATTGCCTCACAGCCAGAGGGTTCTTGGTTCGAGCCCCTGGGGGAACCAGGACCTTTCTGTGTGGATTCTTCATGTTCTCCTGTGTCTGTGGGTTCTCTCTGGGTTCTCCGGGCTCCTCCCACAATCCAAAAACCTGCATGTTAGGTTGATTGGACATTCCAAACTGCCCTTAGGAGTGAGTTTGAGTGTGTGTGGTCCTTGTGTGTCTCTGTGTGGCCCTGTAATGGATTGGCAGACCGTCCAGGGTTACCCCTAACCCATAGGCTCCAGTCCCCCCGCGACCCCATTAGGGGATAAGCAGTTAAGATAATGGATGGATAAAGTTTGATTTACAGCAAACTTAGCAAAGAATTAGCAAACAACTGTTTGCATCTCATAGCTCAACTACAAACATTTTTTTTTTCTTAATGTGAAAAGGGTCCGTGCCCACTATTGTTTTGAGCCTAGGCTTTTTTCAGGAATGCACTGTTTTAATTCGTTCGCACTTGTTTAATAATCTATTTAGTTGATTTTTTGTCGAAATCTCAAGGTTTCGGTCGACTGAGAATATCTTTGGTTGATCACAGCTGGAAATAGTGACACGGGTCAGAAAACTGTGCCTTCAAGGTGGGCGGCTCGTGTGCTCCCTACCTGATGGTGCCAGTAGGTGATGGCAGTGGGCTCATGAGGTGGGCAATGTTATCGGGAATGTTAATGGTCAGTGGGGATATCTGGGGCTGGACAGGCTTGACCGGTGATTCCGGCACGTTCCTTGGCTCCCTCTTGTCGTTAGACAGGGCGGTAAATGTGATTTTTATACTTGTGCTGGGGAAGCGAAAGCAGCACCTAAAAGAAAAGAGGAAAGCATAATGAAAACATTTCAATAAAGGTGAAACGACAAGCCAGTAGTGTTAGCACACCAACAAGCAAACCAAGCTTTCCCAAATGAAGCCCAGAGAGCAGTACTGAGGGTCAGCTTCAAAAAGTTAAATATGGACACACACCCCACCACCATGCAACAGCTCACGTCTAACATGTCTAATTTATTATTAACGCAATCGGCTATATTTGCACCACTTGCTGACATATATATGATGACAATATCAACACGAGGATTTAAATGTACAAATCAGAAAGTTAGGAGAGTTTAGAAAATTTGAAAATCTTTGGTCTTAACAACTTCATTGAATTAGTTTATATAGACCAGCAACACGATCCAAATCAAAAGTAAAGTTTGACAATAAATGTATGAGAAAAATCCATCTTCTCTTGGAAATGCATTTCCTCAAGGAAAGAATTTCATTACACCTTTCTAGGAAAAAGATTTCTGATCTGAAAGATTCATCACTGGCTGGAATAATGATATCAAATTACATTCACAAATGCCACTTCAAACTGCACTGTGCAAAAAAAAAAAAAAAAGCTCTATGTTGAATTTGCACAGAGGTGCAATCTTTCTGTCAGGATTCGGACCATCACACAGATGAGACGTCCAGATTATTTGTAAAAATTTCCATAAAATAGGCCCTGTGATGGTATTGGCGTTCTCAGAAAAGCTCATTTGTGTCTTGAACAAATAAAAAAAGTTCAGAGCAACAAATGTGACGAGGCTTCCTGGGTTTGGTTCTATCAGATTTCTTCCTTTTGAAATTGAGTCATTTTTATCTTGTTGAGTTATATATGCTTAAGATGGGGGATAAGAACAAAGTGACGTTTCACTGTAATCTATTGTGGAAACATTTCAAGATTTGGCTCAGTTTGAGTGAAGATGTATAATTTGGAAATGAACAATTAGACTGAATTATTAGGATTATAATAAACTGGATTCCATTGTATCTTGAAGTGCCCGGAAAATGACAAGTTGTGATTTGAAGCTAAATAAATAAAACCAGCCTGAACTAAATATGCTCTCTGACGCAAGAAGTCATATACACACACATTTATATGAGGATAAACCAGACTAAGTATCTCTCTACCAAAACCTAAAGGTTACATTAAGTTAACAGCAGTGTATAACAAGTTTACTCATCAGTGTTAATTATTCTCCAGCCTGTGTTATGACAGCCTAAGTTTAACCGGAGGGGTTTCTGGCCTGTGGGAGGGGAAAACAAAACATTAGGGTTTTAAAAAAGCGTGTTCTTTCACGTTTAGTATTCGGCAAACCAAACTTTTTTAAGCTTCGGCCATTTTGCTTAACCCTGAGTGAATAAAAAACATTAAAGGACACCCTTTGTGGGCATTTTAGGTGTGTTCCAAAGGCCAATTAAGCTTATTGGAACCATCCTGACACAAAAAAAAATACAAAATACAAAACTTAACACTGATTCGACAGTTTCAAAATTCAGCAAAGTTTATGGCAATTAAAATTAACCCGCGTAATTTCAAATAACCTTTAAAAAAGAAAAAAGGGAAAACCGGTGGTCTTAAGTTAGGTTATGGTCGTAGTAAGAATATTCTCGTTATTTCACGAAAATGTCTAACATGGAGTTAGTGTGACGTCGTTGCTGTACACACCGGCCACACGTCTCGCGCTTAGACAGCACGTGCAACGCCGCTGCGGGCTAACAAAACAATAACAACACAATAGCCACACGCGTGCCGTAGTCCGCACATAATATCCCCACGGCAAGTAAACATGCAAACTTACATTCTTGGAAGCTGGAGAGGTGGAGCCCCTCTTCTCTGGAACACCCCATCAACAAATACCCCGTTTTTTCCAAGGCACCTGAGATAGAATTCCCCCGTGCCAGTACCGTCTTCTCCGGCAGTGAATATTTCAAGGTGCCGCCGGGATATGAAGCTGGAATGTCCCATGCTGACGTCTACTGAGCCCTGAGAAGAGTTTCGGCCGATGGTCACCGACCTTTTCTTCATCAGATACTCGAATTCTCGGCCCTCCAGCCGGGCTACCGCCGACCCTGACATCCCGCTTACAACCGCCATCTTCCAATGTATCTAGTAAAGATTTGGGGATGTAAGCTAAACGCAAATGAGAAACGGATGCGGGGGGTTGAAGAGGTGTTATTTTTGGGGGGGGTTATCAAATTGGGGAGGGGGATCCAATCTTACACCGTGGAGAATTTAGCTAGGAACGTGCCAGACCGGGGACACAGCGGCTCCGACCCACCACCGTGAAGAGGAGGGAGGAGGGGGGAGAAGAGGAGCAGCAGCCAATCCGAAACGGCCAAAAGGACGGAAGTGTTGGGACGGACAAGCCTCTCCACCAATGAGAAACTGTTCGTGGTAGGCAGATGTGTAGTGTTTACCAATGACAATAATAATAAAAAATAGCCGTAGAAAATAAGGGTGGGTTGCGGCGCAGGCTGACACGCAGATGAACGGACAAATGCAAAATACGGCGCAGTGATTTCAAGGAGTTGGATTTCTTCAATTCTGAAGAGAACACACAAATTTCGCGTAGTTATCCTCATGTTCATCCCTTGAGATACGCCACAACGTTATGTTACGGTAGATGTAATCTTTTCACAGTATAGAGTCAAATTGCATTTTAAAGACGAAAAAAATCAAATTAAATTGCATATTAATAACATGACGTGATGTTTTACTGCTCTGCACTCCACTTCAGGACTGGGAATATTCACACTTAACTAATCACACACAGTGATTGTGTTCCAGTTGCTTGTTGTGATCATTTTTGGGATTTATTTTGTGCTCAAATTGCCCTTGAAGTAGGAACTCATGATAAGTATAATGAAACTGCAAAGCTGACCACGTGCAAGTCAGTCTACAAAATGATTTGCAGTCACTAATCCAGTATTCTCAAGATGGTAACAACATTTTTTGTATATGAACACCAAATATATACCATGTTTACTAATGGATGTTGGACATTGCTTCCTGTGTGTTGGATTTAAGGAGACACCAATTGACAGAGCTAACAAGTGCTTATAAACAGTTTATTACTGGAGCTCTTTGCATGGGGCAGTCATGTTTAAATTTGGGATAATTGTCTGTATGTCTTCATAGTATGGGAACTTCACACTGAGAACTCTAACATTTAAATGCAATATTGTTCAATGACCAGATGAGTGGTTTATTAGCAATAGAACTTAACAACTGAGTATTTCACTGTATTTCACACAAAAAACAACATTTAAACACTTTCGCTGATAGAACTTGTCCCTCGCTCCTTTGTGTCCAACTAAAAAATAATTTAATTAATGCCAGTATCATATTTTGTGAAGATGCTGAGCCAGGGGCATCAACAACAGTGATCAAAACAGTTAAGATTTGAAGAAAATAGTTAAAAACATAACTATTTTCATTTAAAAATGCTGCCAAAACACTGGATTATTGTTTCCATATTACAATATGCAGCGGATAACATTGTTAAAACAACATGGAAAACATGAGAAATGTCATCATTTGTAATATTCACCTCAAATCCAGCATAGAATTATGTGTATTCAAATAACTATGATTTTTCTTAGGCTAAATATTTGATTTTTTTATTGTTTTATCTGAACCTACTGTAGGACACTTTGACAGCTCTGGAGAGCTCCTTCTGGGATAGACTGCTTCACCCAAAGTGTGTGAGGGAGAGATATTGCAGGTCTTGTGTTGCTTATGTGAATGGATGAAGTCTGGCTAAGTTAACTTTATAGGATATATATAGTGTACATAGTGTTTTCCACTAAGTCTGTCAGTGCTGTACAGTTGTATTTTTACAGTTAAAATACTGCCAATACAGTATTATAGGGGTGATATTGTTTGGTTGCCTTTTCTTTACCTGTTGTAACACTAAAATTTCCTCTCGGACGGACGAATGACAGAATATCTTATCTTACATTCTCTGAATCCTGGGGATTATGGGGAATAATCTTGATTAAAAGATCCATTGCTATTCATTATTCTTTCGCCAAAGTTTTCAAACACATTAACCTGACTCAAAACTACCTTGCATAGAATAATCAGAAGTAAATCAATAAAACTGATTAAAAATAGTCACTGTACTTCCTATTGGAAACTATTTTGTATGTCAGTGGTTTAACAATTTACTCTACAGCGTGACTTGAAAAGAATATGAAGAATGAATACAGCAACATAGAGTTTTTCTATAAACCAGAAATGACCACACCGGATTTAATTTGTTCCCCGCTCCATGTAGAGAGTCGCAGCCGTTGTTTCCAGGTTGCCACCGGGTGGTTTAATAGCTGTAGTACAACAGTCACCACGCTGCTGGTGAGACTTATGAGCATGTTGGTCGAGTAAACGACTGCCGGTTACTGACGGTGGTTCACAGGCATGCTGAATTTATTACAGCTCCATACCACTCATCCTTTAAGACACACTTCACACCAAGATGGCAGCAATAATAAATAAAATATGCTATACTGAGAAATCTCATACAGAATGGCATCTAAAAGGTGTCATTCAAAATACACCCATCAGCAAACATGGATTTAACATACTTGATAATCCCAAACATTGGATTAATACTTAATTATTTTCTTAAATATGGAATTTTTGAGTGGGAAAAAAAAGTACAAGAAAAGCTAGAACCACAAAAGTGTTTAATTGTTGCCCTTAAATGAGTGTGTACTCCCGATAGTTGAGGTTAGAAAGCTACTTTCAGCCCTATAGCAGGTTGTTTATCTTTTGCAATATAAAAGTGTGTTGATTGTTGTTTTCCACAAAAAGTAAACCATGTTTTTGAAAATAAATTGGCACATTATGACATTTGCCTTATTTAAAAAAAAGCTATCGATGCCTTACTGCTTCAGCCTATTGGTAACGTTTCACTGGTAACTAATTTGTTTGGACCTTGACAGCCTACAGACTGTGTTTTGTATGCAGTAACTCATTGACCATCAGGGTTGTGCTACACACACTGACTACAACACACAACTGAATGAAATCCTGGGTTTATTTTTAATAGAGCAACACGTGGGTGTTGGCTTTGGCAAAGAATCAGTGTGTCCACTGATCCCAAAAATGTCATTTAAGAGGAAAAAAGGAACTAGTGTAATATAATGACTCATATACTCCAAAATATCTGCATTCTTTTCTCGCTCCTTGGCACAGGATCATTTTCTTATTGTAAGATTCACCTCATCTGCCCTTTTGGATTACTCTACAAAACGTAATCCAGTTTCAACCGACTTATTTGCATACTCATTTATAGTTTGGGGGTACAATATTGCCATCAAAGAAAGAGGGGCTTTCTATGTGGTGTTCTCCTTTTGTTTGCATTGATTATCTCAGTTTACTTAGGCTTTAAAACATGATTGTAGTGGTAACTGATGATCAAAACATGCAGTATAAGTGTGTGTGAGAGTAAATGTCTCTTTTTCTGTTTGGCCCTGTAATGGAATACATGGCCTCTTGAATGGGGCTCATCCAGAAAAGAAACATCGGTTATGTGCTGCCATCTACTGTTTTTACTTTTTCTTGCAGGGCTGTCTAATCTTTCTGGGATTTTTACACGAGCAGGTATGTAGTCAGCTATTTGCAAACATGCACTTTCAAAGTAATTTAGAAAGATTTCCATTCCTTTGCTTAAAAAATCTTGTTATTTTTAGTATAAAACTCAAAAATATTCAACACATTTTTTTTATCTTATGAAAATAATATTTACGTATAATTGGTGATGTTTAGAAAGCAAAAATTAAATTTTTAAAAATATCAGTAATAGGAAAGACATTGCTAAATCATTCAAACTGTAGTTAATGTAGCATAATGGAGTAGAATATAATAGATGGCTATTTAAAAATGTACAAGACACAAAGTTAAATAAATGTGAGACCTCTACCTAGAAGATTCTTAATTTTTTGTTTTATACCAAGTTCTTATGCAAGCTAAATTTATTAACGATTTAATTTATTAACGATTAAAGGAACAAAAAACATTTCAGTCTCAGCGACTCTCCATACAAGTCAGACTAATGAAATGCTTTTAAGCCAGGCGGCACCTCATTAATGTCTTGAAAAGCAAGCTCTCCTTCGGTTAAATGGTGACTCCAGGATGAATTAGATCCTTAAGCGAGAAGTTAACCTCCAGGAAACGCAGCTGGAAAAAAAATGTGTATTGAATTTTCAATAAGGTGAGAAAATAGATGTTATAGAGGGCTTACTTGCTGTGATAAGGAAATAAATGACTGTTACCCGATATTTTCAAGTATACAATTGTTTGAAAAATTGGATTTTCTTCCTAGAACATGCCTTACTCTATTTAATCTTTAGTTTAATGGTGTTGTTGATGCTAAAAAAAAAAGATATAATTCCTTTTTTTATATCTATTTGGTTGTTTGCTATTTCACAAGATCTGCTACAATACTTTTTTTATGCAACTTTTTAAAAAAAGGCCATACTTGTTTAGTTTTTTCTAAGTGCACTGACATTACTGGTAACTTTTAACATGCTAATCCGACTTGTGTTTCTCTCTTTCAGATTCTCCAAACATGACACAATTTTAAACTGAGAGGAAGTGGTCGACAGGTCTAGTCCAGGGAAGACTGAAAGATACTCTCACTTGTGAATACACATGGCCTTATATCCTTTCTGTTTTTTTCTCCAAGACTTTTGCAGACGTCTGTTCTTTTCCATGGTGTCAACTTAAAAGAAAGCAACCAGAACTTCTAATCTCATACAGGTACTCACTCCCTTCTAGTCTACTAAGCCAATCACTGGCTGCCATTCACCATTTTAATTCCTATGGAAGAATTAATTCATTTTTCTCTCACTGACTGACAGTTTCTAATGAACGTGAACATCTCTCTGAATTATAATCAATGTGTCTCTCTCGGTTGTGAAGATTATTCCATTGCTTTGCAAGACTTAACGGGGAATGAGGTACACCATGCCACCTTAAAGGTGTCATTCAAACTACACCCATCAGCAAACATGGATTTAACATACTTAACAATCCCAAACATTGATACTTAATTATTTTCTTAAGTAGGGAATTTTTGAGTAGGAAAAAAAAAAGGACAAGAAACGCTAGAACCACAAAAGTGTTTAATTGTTGCCCTTAAATGAGTTTGCCCTCCCTATAGCTGAGGTAAGAAAGCTACTTTCAGCCCCATAGCAGGTTGTTTATCTTTTGCAATATAAAAATGTGTTAATTGTTGTTTTCCATAAAAAGTAAACCATGTTTTTGAGAATAAATTGGCACATCATGACATTTGCCTTATTTCAATTCAATTTTATTTATATAGCGCCACATCACAACAACAGTTGTCTCACAGCTTTCCAAACAGAGCAGGTCAGACCCTACTCTGAAGTTAACTACAGAAACCCAACCATTCCCACCATGAGCAAGCACTAGGCGACACAGGCAAGCAAAAACTTCCTTTTAACAGGCAGAAACCTCGAGCAGAACCATGGCTATTTAAAATGCCTTACTGCTTCAGCCTATTGGTAGCAACAAATTTCTTCTCCAAGACCTCTGCAGAGGTACTTTCTTTTGCCGTTAACATAAAAGAAAGCAACCAGAACTCCCAATCTTGCTGTGTTGGCAGCAGACACAAGCACGGGGTGCAAACACGACACCGGCAGGCATTCAGGGCAAAACGGTGTCGTGTTCGTCTGGCCCGGCCCAAAAAGGTGTCGGACGTGCTCGTGCGTGGCCACGGGAAACAATGGCCGGACACGTCGGGCGCGAGGTGGAAACCTGAAGACCGACCAACAGACTCAACGTGCAGCAATGGTGTCACCTCGGAGTCGCATGTCAACCGGCTCTTCTTCTTCTCTTCTCCTGGCACTAGCAGAACAGTGAGGCTGAGGTTATGAATTAGTAATGGTCTGTTAACACAATTCCAAACACTCCCCTTGTGCAAGTCTAAAGCATTATCTGGGTCCCCTCCTTGATAAACAACAGCTTTTCAAATGAGACAGATCAGAGTAATTAAGGGTTTAGCAAAGTCTTCCGAGGTAACTGACAATGTAACATGTTTTTTCAATGTATTAGTAGCAAGCTTAGGTTGTAAACAAGTAAACCCCAAACTTAGGCTTCCTAAAATCTTTCCTGTGTTTAATTTTGTTGTCAGTTTTGTCGTTAAGCCCTCATGATTGTAGCTTGTGATCGGATTATCGTGGTCTAAAGCTCAGATTTCAATCGCTATGTAAATAGGGTGTGCCTCTAGACAAGTAAAAAACAAGTTGTATGACATATTTCAGGTAATGATTACACCAGAGTGATCAGTTTCCTTAACATTTAAAAAAAAAAAAAAGTTTTTTGTTCAATTTGCTGCTTCGTGGCAGGGAAGGGAAATGTTTCCTTTCTGCCTTTCGCATACAAACCAACCATGTAAAATGAGAGCTATCTTTGCCCTGTAACTAAGGGGACCCAGTCTGACAGGTTCTTTTGAATAGCCCGTGTGACCAATAGTCAGGTTTCACAACAAGAAAATCACCACAAACACTGGTCGGGGACAAAAGTATGAAGATGGAAATCAGTTAAACAGAAACAGGACGGATATCACCGAGCTGTTAGCAAATTAGAGGTGCAAACAGTGGGCCAGCTTCTTGGTTGGAGTCCAGAGGAACACAATGCCTACAGCGCATTCAATTTCCAACCATTTGATCAAATAGAAACACAATTAAACAGTGAATTAACTAATCAAGACCAGGCAGTCAGAGCAGGAAGAGAAGTGAAGCAATAGCATTAGTTAATCCCTTTACTACTTCCAATTTGGAAGAAAGGAAAGTTTCTTTGTTGGCAAGAGAATCCCTCTATTAACTTAAGCATTTTGTGTTAAAAAGTCAATAAAAAACTTAATGGAAAATGAGAATAAACATGTATATACAATGAGTGCAGAAGAATCAGCTGGGAACCTGAAACCGTTCTTTTAGTGGAGTTACATAACAGGCCGAGGTTTTCGTGTCCCGTATTGTGCCTCGTCCCTTTTTTTTATTTTTTATATACAAGCTTTACAAATGGGCGTGTAAACAGCTGAAGCATGAATGCAGAAAGGTTTCAAATTTCAAAAAAATTAAGACAGTATAGAAAGACAAGCAAACAAATCAGTGAGACAAAAAGTCTCCGGAATAATTACGACATAGTTGACAAAAATCTATGCAAAAAAAAAAAGATTCCGTTTAAATACAATCCAAAATGAACTGATCACAAAGTAACTTCATGACAAATTATAAATTAGAATCATTATGTCTGCATATACAAGTGTACCGGTCTAAGACTGCTAGGCCAGTCTCTGAACAAATATCCCGGAGCCTTCAACATTCTGAATCTACCAGATTCTGAGTTTTCTTAAACTAATTTTGGCTCTTAGGTGCTTAGCGTTGACCGTGTCGGGTCAAGTTATGTCACCATGTTTGGTCCGTTTCACGATAAAGTCAAGTGTCTTTGAAGAGTCAAACGAGGGTGTGAGCATCCACATGCATGTCCAAGCAGAAACTGGGAATTTTCCACCCTACAGAGACGGGGAAAGAGCTTTGTTAAAGGAAAAATTCTTCCACATGTCTTACAACACGCTTTGACAGCAACAGTAAGGGTCTGTACCTGTAGTTTTGGTTTAATCTTTCAGTCTTTCCCGCAAATTGAGTGGAAAATCCAGATCCTCACATGGGAAGCATCTCCTCCAAAGACACCTCCAGGTTTCCAAGATACCAGAAGATCCAGAACACCAGGCTCATGAACACAAAGAGGGGCCCGGAGAAGACCAGGAAATCCCAGTAGCTGAGGGGAGCACCGATCCCAACGAAGAAGATGATGAGACCTATCGCGTCCAGTAAAACAGCAAGGCAGAAAAATAGCCCGCAGCGACCTATATAAAGGCTGTAATCCATGACAGAAGTGGTTAGTAGGTGTTGTTTCTTCCCGTCTGTGTGAGTCACCAGCGAGTCTGCAGTCAGACTTTTAAGAAGGAAGCATCTTAACACCCGGGTCACATTCTTTTTTTATCTACATCTGAAATTTTTTTGGACACGTGTGCTTCCTTAATAATGACAGGAGACTTTTTTTGCTTCAAAGTTCTTTTGTTTTTTCCTTTTTTCCCCAAAACCATGTCTGAGGTCTACAGGAAAACTTAACTAGGTTGACCCCTTCGGGTACTTTTTCTTCCTTAAAAAATTAAGATATAAAAAAAAAAAAGCTTCCTGTGTAACATACGAAACAGCAGAAGGTGGAAAACAGACAAGGAAGAGACGGTAAAAATGCCCTGCCTGTTCTATCATTCATTATTTTTTGTGACATCAACTAAATACGACATCAGATACACAAACAGAGTCCAAAAACTATTTCCAGGTATCATTAAGCTTTATTCAGGACAAAAAGAAAAAAAATCATCTTCCACAAAAATAAGCACATAAAAAATAGAAATTTGCTTTGTACAAATAACAGACCTTTTCTTCGTTTGTGCACAGCCCCAGCAGCCAACAGTGGTCTCGGGGCTTTTCCCTGATTAAGAAGATGTCTAAAAGTGACTTTAGTTCATGTGCTGAATGATTTCAGTCTTTTTGGGTTTTCTGGACAGCAGCAAAGTGGAGAGCGTGTCATTTCAGGCACCAGGGAAGCCAGTTATCCCCTGTAAGAAAAAGGGGGGCAGAGAATAGTTAGATCAAAAGCTGAATAAAAAGCAGAACAAAATTTGGATAAGGACATTTCATATCTCACTCAATTCAGCTTTTTTTTTTTGTAAAGTGTCAATTTGCAACATGTGACATTTAAAAACATTCAACACGTTACGCCACATTAAATACAATTAAAGAACAATTAATTTGCAAGACCCAATTTTACATTAAACATGTAATTATCTGTAAGATGAAGAGAAAAAAAAAACCCTTCCATATCTTAAGCAAGTAGCACTTTGAAGACACAAATAGTTTGAACAATAATGAGGCACAAATATTGTTCGATTAAAGTTACTAGTAAAGTGTTTGATAATTATTTCTTTTAAAAGAATAAAACCTTAAAAGTCAATAAATGACTGAATATATTTCAGACAATTTCCACTACAAAAAGTGATCGGCAAACAATAATTACAAAAAAGAATAAACCAAAACGAATACATATCCATCAGTTTTAACTTGACACAATATTATATATCCATATATATGTGAACATAAATGTAGACCAATTACAAACTAAATTGAATTGTTTTTTTTAAATATATTTATTTATTGGGTCTGAACTGTGGCAGACTAATGAGTGAGCTAAAGGAAATACAGAGCCTCCTAACCTGTCATTAACATTGCAAAAGGGTGGATTTTATAATGTAAAGTCTACAGACTGTGGTGCTAAACTGAAGTTTATAAATTGAGAAAATAAAAAGCTGAGACAGTCATACAGATGTAATACATATATAATACATATGTAATAAAGTGTATAAATCCACCACATTGCTATTTCTTGAGCTTATGAGAATTATTTAAGGTTTGAGATCATTCATATGACAAAACATTTGCTCCTTTGGTAGTTTTGTTTTGAGAAGCTCTAAGCTTTTGCTAGTATGTCAGGAAAGCTTCTGCTTCCCTAAACTAAGTGTTCTCACATCCATCGACTGTTCACTGAACATAACTACATGTAATTTTAAAAAAAGTACCCCACAACACACATATAGAAACAATAAAATAAAAAAAACTTTAAAAAAAAAATTACATAATCTATTTAACTAACAAATGACACAACACACAAAACAATTACATGAGGAAATATGGCAATCACAGCTTAATCCAGTTGTAAATCCCTCTCTACATTATTGCTAATCATATCCAACGCCCTTTGAGGGATCCCTGTCTGCCAAGCCTTTTAGGTTTGAACAACACATGTTAAATGCGAATGACGAACGGCTCATTTTATGACTCATTATGCAGATAAAAGGTGAATACGACAATTGCAGTGTTGATTTTAGGTGGTGGCCTGAATTCAGAGGAATGTACACAGATAACGTCCACGATAACAACTATTTCATTCAGGACCATGACTGGCAAATCCATAAAGCCTGAAATTGTTTAAAACTGTAATTTTGGGAATAAGAACCACTTTACTTCATAACAAATGGATGAAAATCATCATGTCTGAGCAGATGGACACAGTGTGCTTTCTTTCTTAATGACCCAATGATGGAATTTACAGAATTTTGCCACAATTGTGTGACCCATGGAACGAAAAGGTTGTTTTTTCTTACTAGCTATAATCTTAAGAAAAACCCTTAAAAGGATGAAACGTCATTCACCAAATTCGTAGCCTCATGGCGTGTTGAAAACTTTTGTTTTAATGACTTATTCGCAGCAATCAGCATCTCGATAAAATATTTGGTGTGCTAAATTCTGTACTATAGACCAACACATACAAACAGGAAGGATTACCATCACCTAATAAAACCGGCTCATTAGGATTATGAGTACTGTCATTTCTGGACTATGAGCAGCTCCTGCTGCTCCTTTTTTGTACACATTTTGAACACAGCAGGTTAAAAAATTATGGATTTTTATGGGCTCTAAACTTCATGCCTCCAATACATTCAGCCTCTTCAGACCAATGAAATTACAGAAGTCAGAAAAAAAGAAATAAAAGCATTTGTAGTACACATTTGTGTAGGTTTCCTGCCTGCATTTAAATAAAACTTCTAAAAATCTTTCTGTATGACAACATATATAAGCAGCTCATCGACAAGTGCTGCCTATGTATGTCCTTTTTTTCTTTTATTCTTAAAGTTAGTGGTAGTGGCTACTGTGCACTCAAATGTCCAAAAATGACAGGTTATACTCTCCACCGTGAGGTGATTCTTGTTTCTAAAGATCTGGACCAACAGTTCAACCATAATACCGGCTATAGATCCACTTAATATTGCCGTATACTGCAAGAGTTTTCAAAACTACCACGAAAAACGCTCCATCATTGTGGACCAATTTCTCATTTATATTCCTCAAGAAGAAATAAGACCACAAGTTTTTGCTTAAGCTTGGTTCATTCTTTAGCTAACCAGCCATCAGAAGGCTGGTTTACACTTTTGAGATCGAAGAAGTCTAAAGTATTCATGACATTCTAGCTGCAATTATCCCATTAGCTCTCAGCTCAGACCAGACCACAAAAAAATCTGAAGGTTTTCATGCATATCGATGAATGTACTTGAAATTTTACTGCATTCAGTATGAAGGAAACACTGTACAGCGAAACAGCAAACACCTTTTTTCATTGATGCTGTTTGATTTAGCTAAATATTTACAGCAGAAACGGTCAAAGATAAAGACATTTAGTCGCTAAGAGTTGGTCCAGGAAACACCATTAATGGCAGTTCATAAATCTAAAGAATGAGTAAATTCTGTGTCTGTTCTTGGGCCTGCTCAATAATCTGTAACACAACCTAAGCTTAGTTTGTATTATCTGCATTTTAAGCATAGAAAAGGTACTTTGAAGAACCCAGGCCCACTCTTCATCCTCCCATGTTTGCGCTTGTGGCCACACCATTTCACACCGCGTCTTATCTCAGGATCATTAGCCGGCTTAAGATGATATCTGAATCCGAATTGGGCTCATCAGAGTAAACTACCTGGAACTGGCGGATAGGCGGGGGAGGGGGGGTGCATTAAGCAAAATTACATGCGATCCCCCGCATCTGGAGACTGAGCGAACCATACCGACACCCACCAACTACCCACCAACCCACCCACACTTTATTCCGCTGGATCGATAAGGGCTGCAGAGTTCCATTAAAATGCAATTGCGCCTTTTATGCCCCAAAGGGGGTCTGGCTCTGGCCGCCCGCTTACAAGGAAACCGACGGCCGAAATCACGCAGAAGCATGAAGGTGAGCAGAGACGGTCAGGCTCATTAATTAAAAGTCGCCACGGGTCACTGACCATCTTTTCACAGGAGCCAAAGGAAGGGAAAAAATTATTATAACAGATATTCATGAGCAAACGGCCATGGCTTCTAGTGGTAGGGGGGATATTACTCAAGACCAGTTTAATCACTGGGTTTACCTGATCGCTGACTATAAAAAGGGAGGTATTTTGAATTATGAAAGGGACGAGGTCCTCCCTGGTGCCATCTGCACTCGTGATGTCAACATAAAACACAATGAAGATGTCACTAAAAGAGTTAGAGAACAGCTAATAACAAGCAAAACTACATAAGGCTGAAAGGGAACATGAATCCCTCATTTTTTCAAAACTTACAGACCTCCTTAAGGCCTTTTTCTTTGGATATTGGCAGCTATTTTACTGATTTGCATTCCAGCCCTTGCACCTGACCATATTCAGATTATTTTGTGTTTTCAATTAGCCTAAGAACACCAATCTATAAATCCACCAACTGTAAGATAGGATCTAACTCAAGGGATGAACCAGTTCTTTATGTCCAAACTTAGCAAAGAACCGACTCAGTTTTGTCAACCAGTCCAATTGTTTCAAATTAAATTTTAGAAAAACACTCAAGATAAGCCAATAGATGTACATTTCTGTTTACACAACTAGAGGACGAATCACAAAGAGCTGTAAGTGGAGAACTTGACGCATCACATGGTGTGTAGTGCGGAAAATCAAACAAGCATGGAGGACAAAAGAGGAGGTTGGCCCAAATAAAAAAAAAAGTACCAGAGAAAAGTGATATCTTTAAGCAATATGGTAAACAAACTGACTAAATAAAACCTGACATTGGACATGATGGATAGATAATGACCGGCAGCTGACCCAGCTTTTGTTCTCAGAAGTCTTATCATAAATCATCTCCATGAAAGAATGACTTAGCAAAGGAAACAGCTACTTTCTATGTTGCAAACTTTAATTTTTGCCTGACACCACAGTATTTGACCCCTTGCTGATTTTGCAAGTTTGCCCACTTACAAAGAATGCTTATTTTTCCTCATCATATGGTTATCAATTTTTATAAATTCATACGATGTGATTTTCTGGAATTTTCTTTGGGATTCTGACTTTCACTGTTAGAATGTACTTATGATTAAAGTTATAGATCGTTGCATTCTTTGTAAGTGGGCAAACCTGTAAATTCAGCAAGGGGTCAAATACTTATTTCCTCCAATAATTAAGTTGAGAAAGTTTGGTGGTTCCGGAAGCTCTTAATTAAAAAAAGAAATAAGAAATACAGATGTCAGGAGTCGATTGAGAAGAAATATTTTTTTTTCCTATTAAATTCAACAATTAAATGAGTTGCAATAATAAAACTATACAAGAACAGGGTGCATTTGTGGCCTCAGGGTTGTGAAGGGAAAATAGAAATACGCACCGTTTCTCGTCAGAGAAGCCTTTCTGCTCTCCCATTTTCTGCACGCAGGGCCAGGTTTGAGGTCTTCAGCGTCCCCAGCTCCACATTCTTATCAGCAGAAGACGGACACTCGCTCAGGCCATCGAACCCCTTGTTGTCGTGCCCCGGTGTGGAAGTTCTGCTGTTTTCTTCCCATCTCACTCCGTACGGAGCGCAAGTACGCACGGTCCATTTAGTCTCCTTCCCGTTCTCCAGGCCCTTCTTCTTCTCCTGTCCCGCTTCCACGGGCTTCATCCCACCCTTTGAGAGCCTCTCGGACAGCTTCCGGGCCCACTGCGTGAAGCTGATGTCCAGGGGGCCGCTCCCGGCCGGCGCGTGCGCCTTCACGTTCCCGGCGTACCACAGGACCCACCACACCAAGCTGAGGAAGATGATGACGGAGCCCGTGAAGATGAGGAAATCCCCGTAGAAGCGGCCGTCCAGGTTGGGGTTGCCGAAAACGCCCACGAGGAGCACGACCAGGCCGGCCACGTCAAAAACGAGCGCGAGGAAGAAGAGCGCGGGGCAGTTTCCCACGCGGTCGCGCGCCATGCCTGCGCAGGAGACCACGGGCCGAGTAACGGCGCAGGGCGGCTTCACCTGCAACCTGTCTGGTGCTCACCTGTGCGCAGGCCCCGCCCTTATCAACGTCATAGGAGTCCGCCAATTAGAACGCAGCGTTCAAATGCACCGGGACGCGCACCTTTCCAAATGTTTGACACTGGAAACGGCAATGGAAGGCTGGACAACTGCCCACGTCAGCCATTCCTTTAAACTAACTTGGGAAATTGTTGACACGACCACAAAACATAAAGTACGTAAAGTGATTTCCTTTCTTGTGCGCACACAAATGGAAATAAACACAGAGTTTTCTATAGTTCTACCAAACCTGAAAGTCTCTTAAAGACTTTTTCAAGCTTTGAAAAGTTTGACAAAGTCAATCTTTCTAACTCTGAGCTTTGGCTGAAGACTTTCAGTTAATTAATATTTTGATTTTGAGTACCCAAGCCTTTCTTCCATTTCCCCAAAAGCTTCCTGACAAGCCCCCCCCTCCATTTTCTGACAAGGCCTCAGTGAACAGTAGATGGATCAGTTATCAGTTGAATGTCTGGGTGCTTTTCATTGACATTACTAGATCCCACCCCCCCTTCTTTTTCTTCCAAGACATCAGAATTAGAGTCACAATCAGAATTAGGTTTGTTGCCAAGTAGGTTTTTGACTTACAAGGAATTTGCCTTTGTGTTTGGTGCACAATACTTCTATGAGAAGCGTGGAAATACAATGTAGAAATAAAAAATATTGAACAGAAAATATAAAACTAAAAAGTACAATCTCTAAAAATATAGATCTGTGAATAGAAATATGGATATATAATTTCGACACAGAGTTAATCTGCTGCCTTTATTTGACTTTGCCATTGAAAAGGTTTTTCATAGACGAAGCACCAGTTCATAGTTTGAATAACTATAGTGTAAAAGGTCATCTTTGTATTCAATGTGTTCGCGTTGCTAAAACTGTAAAAATGATCAAACCAAACAAGAAAAAACTCTTGAATGGAATAGAATGAGAGAAGTTAAGGGAAAACGAACATGTGTGGTTGATTGAATACTCTAAATTAGCCCAAAGAGTGAACCAACATCCTTGGAAAGAAGCTGTAAGATCCCTATGTGAGCCCCTAATTGTGTTTTTGTCCAAATACATCATCATATGAACATGGATTCTGTTAACTAAGCTTCTCATTTATCAGATCAGGTACCAAAAAAGTCCAAATTTGAACATTTAAGTCTCTAAATTAAATGCTAGCTTTATTAGGGCTGTGTTTTACAGTGTAGTCATGAACCTGCGTTTAGCATAAGGACCAAATGACAAAATAAACACGAACTGACCCTGTCAGGGAAGTTGTTTGGAGTAAAATATCACCTATGCACAGTGATCTAATGCAGATTATGTAATGAAAAGGAAGCATAAAAATAGTCCAATAAGTATTCTCTTTATAAATAGATGTAATTAAAGCAACAGCTGATCATGAGCAAGTATATCTCGCTGCAGACTAGAAGAAGCCAAGGATGGATATCCAACTCCACCCACATCCAAGTCGGCCATTTTGATTACCCAATGGGAAGATCCCAGGCAAGAAAATCCTAATTGCTTCATGGCAATATAGACATTCATTTAAAAATAGTTAAATTAATCTTGCAAACACGGAATTAAACTCAATACATAGTATTAGCTTAAAATAGTGTACGTTAAATAGGTTTGTACAATAAGTCCAAAGAAATTTAACCAAAAAATATTTATTTTTGACAATTATGAAGGGTGGAGGGTTAGGGTTAGGGTCAGGGTTAGGACTTCGTTTGTCTTACTTTTTTGTATAGACGGTAAAGTTTTGTTTCCACCTCAGATAGCTGCTAGTCATGTGACCTAATCAAAATGGCTGACTTGGATGTGGGAGGAGTTACAGACTGCAAACAGAGGATCATGAGGGGAAGCTGTATTTATCCAGTACGTTCCCGTTCACATTGACCTGCTGGTCAAGGATCCAGAGGGTGGGGGGGGTTTTGGGCGGGGGTGAAAGGCTATCTCAGTGTTGGTATTGAGAGGATAAGCATGAAAGAGCTGTCCCTTTTGTATCTCGGTGCATAATGGAAGCAATCGAGTGTTTTGAGATGCGACAATAAAGCCGCTCTCACCTGTGTCATTGTGAGAATGTGTAGTGAGCAAACCCTACATCTCACAGATACTATATCTGACACTCCCCCCCTTCCTGGATTGTATTTGACCTCTTTTATGGCTAAAGTGGTTGCTGTTATTTCCAATTTTACCACTTTCAATAACACAAAACTCCCCTCAGTATCTAAAACAGCCCGAGTTCTTTATCAAGGGAAGTCGGTTCGTCGAATTAGCAACCTAGTCACACTATGGATGATTTCATGACTTATTAAGCCTCCTGATTAGCTGAAAGACGCCGCAGATTACATGGATTTCCTTCAGTGAAGTCCTTCATGGCCCAAAGTGAATCCATTGCCATATGCAGGGCATCTGCTGCGGAAAATTGCAATAAAATAGGAATGAAAAGGAAGGTGACCATGGTGGGGAAAGAGGGAATCGCAGCGGGTTCAGACGGAATTTTTTAGACTGCGCTGCCATAATAAGAGATCACACTGATCTGCTTGACATCCTGCTAAATTTCAGCCGTTTCCTTTTGCTCGAATTTGGCTGCTAGAGGGCGCCAGTCATCTTCAGTACGCCGCCAAAGCTGCCTGGAGCTCTGCATGACAAACACATCCCAATGCCCAACTAGCAGTGACAACATGCTTCCTTCAATGTTCTGAAGAATATGTGTCGTAACCATGATGTTCTAATAATTAGAAAGGGTCTAATTAGGTGTATCTTAATAAGCCAAACACACACCAGGCTGAACAGGACTGGTGATGCCGCATTAACACACACATTCTACGTCAAGATGGATATTCTGATATAAGAAAAAAAGAAAAAAAGGTGGGATAGGATCAAGATTTTGATGTATCACACATAAGGAGAGTTTAAAAGTGCATCTTTGTAAGCCAAACAAACACTAAGCTAAACAGACTCGATATGCCATTAACACACATAGTTACATTAAAATGAAAGTTCTTGAGAAAAAATGATAATAAATCATTAAAAAAAGTGGGATAAGATCTAGATTTTGAGGTATCAGACATAAGG